CTTTATATACATATAGATACATAATATATCGCGATACGAATTTATTCAAGGTGGCCGGGGGATCGTCTAATTTGAAAATAACGTTTGAAAACTTGGCGCAATTAAATTTCTATTGCTTGCTGCAATCTTTTTTAAGTTTCACATTAAATTATCAAGTAGACGCTTATTTTCTTGCAAAACTAGAAAGTAACGACTTTAGTAACAATGAAACGTAACATTGAAACGTTTTATTTTACAGTTTTCTTATTTAATTTTTATTTTTAAATAAGATTAAATTTTTATTTTTAGAATTTCTTTTCTCCATCATGACTCTAAAATTATATTTTGATATGATGTCGCAACCTTCGAGAGCACTGTATATATTTTTCAAAACGTGTAATATACCGTTTGAAAAAAAGATTGTGAACCTCGGGAAACTCGAACATTATACTCCGGAATATGAGAAGATTAATCCGTTCAAAAAAGTGCCGGCTATAGACCACGATGGCTTCAAGCTTATTGAAAGGTATTATTCTTTCTATAGAATAATATCGACACTTCTTTATTTGTTTTAAAATCGTCTTTTTTGTTTCTAGTATAGCAATTATGCGATACGTGTCCAGAGAATTTAAGGTAGATGATCACTGGTATCCGAGCGATTCAAAAGCGCAAGCGAAAGTAGATGAGTTTATTGAATGGCAACATCTCAATACAAGACTACATTGTGGCCAATATTTCATGATGAAGGTAATGTTTTCATTATTTACTTAAAATATATCCTGCATAGCTAAACGTATTTTTTAATACAGTTCTTAAATCCGCTTCTACGGGGTACCTCGCCGAAGCCAGAGAAGATAGCTGAATTGGAAAAGGCTATGAGCGATAATATCGATCTGATTGAAAATATATGGCTGAAAGATAAGCTATACTTAACAGGAAATACAATTAGCGTGGCTGATATATTTGGTGCTTGCGAATTAGAGCAACCACGTAAGTTATAATAACGAATCTTTTGATTCTGAGTACTATAATATACATCAGTATTTGTAGCTTGAAGATTTTTTTTGTCATAGGAATAGCCGGATATAATCCGAGAAACGGGAGGCCACGCTTGACCGCCTGGTTGGAAAGAGTCACTGCGGAGACAAATCCTCACTATGATGATGCTAAGAAGTTTATAGATAAAATCATTGCACAGGCAAGCAAGATGTAAAGTCAAACCTTACTAAACTTTAATTACATACAAATATGTCCATAAATATCATATATATCTATATATGCAATCTGTTTTAATCGATACAAGTAATATTTTTAATGATTTTTACTTTGATATTTATTTAAAAAATATAGAAAAATATATGTTTATTTTATCGTTTGTTTATTTTCCATCCATTTATTTGCCATTTATCCATTTCAAGAAAACTACCGTGCTGCAATTTCTTTTCAAATTGTTATAAAAGTACAAAAAAATTGATTATAATTATATATAACAATTAAGAAGCATTAGAACAAAGATATAAGCGTTATTTCTTACAAGTACGCGATTCTTAAATATATATTCGTAAAAATGATCGTACTTTATTAGTTATTTCTGACACATTTTTTTTAATAATAATTTGTTATTTTTCACCAAAATAAAACTCTTCATTGCAGTCATGTAGAATTACGACATCGATAGTGAGAAATTATGATACAAGTTTTTCACATAAATTTGTAATAAAATTCATATTGTTTGTTGTCTTCTTTGATGTTATAATCGGGAGCATCCCAGCACATTTTCAATCAGACACACCACTCACATCAGCCGATGCCTAGTAAGCTACCATCAAAATTTTTTTATTTAATCGACAATGTGGTGAAGTATAAAGGTGAGGTCCAATCGGTAATGTGTCCGATCGGACGTCACCCTTATAATCCACCTTATCCAAGATAAAAGAAAAATGGTGGGGACCTGTAAACTTCACTATATTATGTAGCCAATCACACATTCCAAAAAATTATCGTATAGTAAACGACGAATAATAGTTTGCTCAATAGATCAAAATCTAATTCGTCGATGAGAGAAAGAGATGGAGAGTGCCAAACACAACTATGCGATGCCGATCGTCCGGTCACTTTCAATAGTCTCCAGCATCTCGGTGAGTTGATTGTGTAAGTGATTAGTAAAGTTATTATTGAATTCTCTCACGTGTAAGCGACACATCTGTAAGAACGAATTGCGCTCCGTCATTCCCGGTCAGAACGCTGAGGGCGACATATTTTCTTTCGTAAGTGCATGAATTAAGCGACAAGTGGATAGACAGCAATTAACTGTGAACCAGGGT